TTAGAAGTCTAAGTCGGAATGCGTGGATATCTTTCAGTCAGCTTCCTGCGAGTCTGGTCTCAGAGCTCACAGCTCAACTCTGTCTGCGTCTGCGTTTGCGTCTCCTCGAAACTCTGCCGAACTCTCCGTTTATATGGACGCCGACAAAAACCGGGTGTTGGCTTGTCGTGGTTTGGCTTCCTCGATAATTCTGAATCCACAATAAGGATTTTCTTTGTTTTCGGACAAGAAAATTTATCACTTTCCATTTTTAGAGGTCCATTACTTTCTGCTTTAGAGGGGTTCTTAAGGGAATCGTCCACCCAAATTCTTCCTTTCTCATATTGATATCTCACACCAATCCCTTCAGGGGGCGTCAACAGGTTTCCCTTCTTTCTCATATGTTTACCTTCGCCCATTGCTCACGCCAACATTAAGCCAATGAACGCTCGACAGCGTGGGTTTGGCTAGTCTGGCCTCAGTTTAAAATTATCACTCAATTTTGCACTGATAATAGCATAATTCTTTTTCTTCATTTAACCATATGTATAGAATGTATTGAGCACATCGACGTGGTGTAATTTTTAACAAGCTTGTCGATATTCTTGACAAAATACAAAGAACTCTCTGTAATGTAATCGATTCTGACTTGGCATCTCGATTTCAATCATTTTCCCAACGACGTGACAAGACTTCCCAGTATTTTCTACAAATATTTTCATTGCAATTGTTCTGGGGAGCAATTCTCATTAGTGGCTCGTCTGCAAGAATTTAAGTGTTCTAATAAATTGGGTGCCATTTTCTACTGGCCAGAGTGAGAGCCTATAGCTTGCTGCCACGAATAGGCAGGAAGATTCTGTTGGCCAGCGTGAGAGCTAACAGCTGACTGACACGAATGTTAACTAGCATACAAAAAAAATCGATTGCTGCATTCGTCACAAGTGGGAAAAATTTAAATCTGCATGGCACTTTACTCCAATTGGCTCATTCGCTTGCTTAAACTCAACGTGGATTCTGATTCCGCAGAACTGGGTTGGATGTGAAAAGGTATTTGTTGTTAACATTCTTTTTTCATTCGGTTTTTCCAGTTACAAGTCCTTTTTTAAGCTGATCGTTTTGTGTTCATTTCGTTTAGTTTTTTTTTTTCGTAACAGATTTAATGTTTAGTATAGAGCTTAGAAAAAATTCGCAGTGTGGGATAGGCAAGAAGTAAAGCATGTAGCAACATCAGCACGTCAAAGGGCACTCCTTTAAAGGCAAGGAAGGGCAAAGATATTTTAAGTCAAGTGATAGCGATTGTTGTATGAGTCGTACGATTTATGAATCAAGCACAGGCAACGCCGGGCCATGCTGCTAGTTTACGAAAAACTCTAAATGTTTGGGAGCCAAGAAATCTGCGAATGCATTTTCTGCATTTTCTTTGCAACTGAATGTCTTTTTACTTAAAGCATTGTTAAGATTCTTAAAAAAGTAGTAGTCAGTAGGCGTGCGATATGAGGAATATGGTGGATGGGGTAAAGTCTCGTATCCCAAGTCGTTCTTCAGTGACAACATATGGCCGAGAATTGCAATGAAGCAGAAATGGATCTCTCGATTAACCATTGTCTTTCACATTTTGAATGTGTATTTCCTCCATTTGGTAGCAGTAATTTTCACACATGTTCTGGTTTTTATTCCAGAAATCTGTAATGGGTAACGCCGATGGCGGACCACCTGACCGTCACCATAATCTTCTCTTGGTACAATCTCGGTTTTGGAAAGATTTTGTATGCTTCAAGTTGTTGAGCCGATCATTTATGATTGTCATAAAAGAACTACTTCTTATCAAAACTCACTATTCGACCAAGAGATATATCATTCAAAGTTCGCAGATGCAGCGACGATCACACTTCAAAACCCCAAACTCTTTGACTTTCCCTGAGTTCATGTGAATCGAATTTATCGAGTCTCTTCACCTTGTCAATTTTCTTGAGATGGTTCGGTATGGTTGAAATGCTGTCGCCCATTATCTGAGAATTTACTCTGATACTTTAACGAGGCTTTTGCTCAGCTAGTGTTTTCAGATGTTTATTTACAATTGCAGACGCACGCGCTCTGCTACCTTGTACTTCAAGACTCGTATCCCCTCTGTGGAACTTCAGAAATCATTGCTGCACTGTTCGATCACAAGTTGATCCTTAACCTCATGCTGTGTAAAAATTAGCAGCAGTTAGAGAAACATTATGACCAAGCTTAACTTAAATAAATGCATTTCTTCTTCAACGTTCTGAATGATGAGTATATAATGATTAAAGTTAAATTATGAAACCGTTTGATGTAAAATTAGGGAATCAGACGTTTTAATCATTAGGAATGGGACTTACTGCTTTAACTCACTGTTAAACAATTGTTTTGCATTCAGTGTAGTACTAAAGAACGAAAATCCAGAATACAAACTCATCATTGTCATCTGTTCGATGACCGGGTGTTGTTGTATGATTGCTGCACAGTTCAGCTAATGACCAGTTCGCTGCTATATATAGGCCTAGTGGAGTCCATTTTTCTCTACAGCTTGCTACTAGATTGTTATCTAGGCCCCACTCGTTTATTGCTGAAATAGCTAAATGTAACCGCCACTTCTACTCCAAGTTTATATTCACTCACTTCCCGACAGTGGAACTCCCTTCCGCTTATTTACTGCCCTGATAACTACAATCTTCAAAGATTTAAATGTAAAATCAATCGCCATCTTCTATCTTCTTGAAATCCGTTCATCTTTTGTCAATCTCTCAATCCTCCCTATGCTCAGTCTTTTTTTCCTCACATTCACCTCTTGTAAGCCCCTGCGTGCTAGTGGCATTTCCGCCTTGCTTAAGGTGACTACACAGCCGACGTCCAAGACTATTGTCTTTTAACTTAAAGCATTGTTAAGATTCTTGAAAAAGTGGTAGTCAGTAGGCGTGCGATATGAGGAATATGTTGGATGGGGTAAAGTCTCGCATCCCAAGTCGTTCTTCAGTGGCAACATATGGCCGAGCATTTCAATGAAGCAGAAATTTGAGGTCTCGCCTTAATAACGAAATATTCACCGCTGATTTCATCAAAGAATCCTCCGCCCGGATCTCCGCCTAGCAATGCCGTGTCATCATCGCGCTGGCTGCCTACATATGGTGTTCAATCTACTCATTGTGCAAGATATATTGTGATTCATTTGCCCTTTGACAGGCGACGCTTCTTATCATGTTGAGTGTCTAGTCCCCCTCTTCACAGGTTTAGTCACATAATACCCAACCATGTGGCAGGTAGTACTATGTTACCTGATACCAGTAGCGCCAAAGATAAAGAATGGAAAAAATATCACCTGGTCCCTCAGAATTATACAGACAACATTACTTCAGACTAAATTTGATGGTAGCCACACGTGTACATATAATATTTCAGAATTATGAAATTATATAATATGCTCCTAAATTCCTTAAGGATCATAGGGCCGCGTGATATCTTTGCATTTTCAATAACAAGCCAGTTTTTAAGTGAGTAGGTGTTAGCCTACTGCACAACACCCAATCTGGAAGATCAGGTTTTGAATTCAGAGTTGTCCTTCTCTTAGACCATTTGCCATAGAACCTGGTCTTTCCTGGTATTTGCCCATATTTGGGGGAAAATGAAGAGGATTCGTACCTTTCCTAAGGGTATATTATGAAATAAGGTTAGATATAATTACTACTAATCGATAACATCTGGATCAGTCAGCCCTGGTACGCCCCTAAATGCACTGAGGCAACAGCTCACCGGAATCACTACTTCAATATCTAACGCAACGAGCGGTGCAATCCGTCCCTTACTACTTTCAAAACCGCCTGCAATAATTGTAAGAGAGTTCTGGGAAACGCAAAGAGCAGCTACGCGCAAGCTGTCCAAGGAAGCAAATTTGATCTCGCGAATTCTGGAAGATCTCTAACCAAATTATGAACAGAGGCAAAGCGGCTGTACCCACTAATATAAACGGCCTCGAGGTCATATCTTCCTCGACAGACAAGGTGAAGCTCATCGCCTCAATATTTGTCTCAAACCCAACGTTAGTCCATCCCTTCCCAACACACTGAGCACTAATATCTCCATTTCAGCACGAGCATTTTTTAGACTTATCAAAAGCCTCGTCCCTAAGAAAGACACAGATAATTATTACAGAGAATTATTAACTAATTGGGATTGAAATACTTTTGCGTGATATTAATGAAATGTCAGCTGATTACATTGTTTTCTCAGCCTTGATTACAACCTACGGAATTGTCCTAATCCCGAATTGTTTACTTACAAGAGTGAAAAGTCTCAGGACAAAGAATATCATACGAGATATATCGTCAAGATTTCAGAAATTGTGAAATAAAAAAGGAACCAATCGCTTTAATTGTCGCTTGTGTTGCTTCTTTTAAATTGCAGAATCCGGCGTCTTTCTCCAGGTTTATCATTTTACACTTATTTAGAAGACTTCAATTTTCGTAAAAAAAAATCTATCGTTATAGAAATAACTTATGTTTGTCTTACCGTTGTATATCCTGCTACCTGATTTTCTCAAAACCTAATTTCTTTTCTTAATTCAGGTGACAGCAAGAGAGGCAGCGCAACTTAGCCCTATAGTATACTAGGTAAGTAACTCTAATCTAAAAAGTAACTAACACAGCCAATATGTACGTGTAGTTATCCATTAGTCTCCAGGCTCCAGAGTACAAACTTTCATGACAGTTGGAATTTTTCTAGGCTCACTTATAAATTGTCACTTTTATTTTTTTTTTGTATATAAATTGTCTGACTTAAGGCGACCAGTCAAGTTTCTTAACTCGATTCTTTCAACTAGTTATATTGCATATTTCACGCTGTATTAGTATTGGTAGTATTTCGATTCGTTCTTCTTAAACCATATTATTATTATTATTATTATTATTATTATTATTATTTTTTCTGTTGGGTTTCTCTTTCACTTTTCGGAACTTTCATTTCCGATCTCTTTCGGCAATCTCCGCCTGCGTTTCAGAATTTAAATGTTTTTCCTCTCTTATAAATGGCTACACCGGCGTGTTGCTCAATTGCATTTTGGACATGTCTCCTACCTGTTTGTATACCTGCTTTTTTTATTTTTTTTTATTCTCTAAACATTTACATGTCAACTATGCGTCTATACAGAGATTTAAAAAAAAATAGTAATTAACTTATTTTTCTCTTTTTCGGATTCCTATTTGAGTTTCTTTTTGTCTTGCGTTTTGCCACGCCTTTCTTTATTTTCTATATTTACAATTACTTACTCCTTCTTGTATTTTCTGTCCTTAGAGCCTGTCATTCATTTGTTTTCTTTCTCTTGTTTCTTGCAGCTTGCCATTGCCTCCATTTCTTTCTCTCTCTTTCTTTTTTACATTTTCCTTTACGAAATTCTGTCCTTACAGTTGGTCATTCCTATCTTTCTGTCTTAGCTTCTCATTGTTTGCTCTCTTTTCTATTCTCAGCCTGACATTATGTCCTTTCCGTTCATACGGTCTTGATGTTCGTCATTGATTTTTTTTCTTTCCTTATGTCTTTACAGGTTGTCACTCATTTCTTACTTACTTTTCTATTCTTACAAATTTCCATACATTCCTTTCTTTCACTCTTAATTTTTTTCGTCTCCTTTCTTTCCGTTAATTCTGTCTATCATTCTTTCCTTCTCTTCCTTACTGTTGTAATAATTTGCCATTCCTTTATTTCCTTCTTGAGGTTTTTCTTTCATTCTTATCCATCCGTTTTTACAGTTTCTTATTTCTTGTTTCCCTGTATTTTTTTGCTGTCATTTTGTTATACGTCTTCCCTTCTTTCATCCTTGCTTTACATTTTACATAACTTCCTCCCCGTCGTTACCATTCTAAATTTTTGTCATTTGTTCTTTCATTTCCATTGTGCTCTTGTTATTTCATTTGTGTTTTGTTAGTTATTTCTTTCTTTCTCTAATTTCATTCCGACTTTTACAGTTTACCAATTTTTCTTCTTCCGTTCCTTTCTTCATATCTCCCTACTGTTATTTTCATATCACATCCAATTCCATAAACCTGTCTGATTCATCTTTCTATCTTCTTCCCTTAACATTTTAACGCTCATTCTATTGACTTCACATCAACTGGCAACTGATCGGCATATTATCTGCTTCGTTTTTTTTTTTTTTTTATCCCATTCGAGTTTTTAAGTCGACTACTCATGACGAAATAAGAATGAGGTCATGACGTCATCCTGACTGAATGCTAACAACATGGCGAAGAGGGAAAAGTTGAAGCCGACAAGTTGTTCGTCTAATTGCTTGGACGTTAGATCCATGCCGGAAATAGCTCGGACAAGAGAATGATGACAGAAAAAGAAAAAAAAAATATTCTCCTCGGGGAATGGTGGAGACGACATGTTGCATAGGACGTTGAATCAATTGAGACAGAAACATAGAAAATGGTAAACAACTGACACAGATTAGGATTTCTTTAAAAGAAATAAAAATCGAGAAAATGGCGGAGGTTTTACTGTAGAATGTTGGGGAACGGACGAACGATAAAAGAAATTCAAAATGTAATGAAAATTTGACAGCATTAAGACTGGAAGGAAATTTCGAAGAGAGAATTACAGTTGAAGGATGAAAAAGAAAAAAAGATAAAAAAAGAAAGAAGGAAAATAAAAAAAAATACTGTATAACTAGAATTAAATTAAATGTATCTTGAAAGCAAAGAAACGTTTAAGAATGAAGACATAGTCCATGATTTTGAAGGAATAAATACAAGAGAGAAGGAAATAAGTAAATTTAGATAGAAAGTTATGAAAATTGCGGAAATCCAATTTGAAATAAAAACGAAACTCGTGAGGGAAATGTTTGGTAAAATTAAAAAGAATCCCAAATGCAAAAAGTACAAGAAAATAACGGAAAGTAAATTAAAAATAAAAAACCTAAAATATAGATCATATTGGATGGCCAATATTTGTATCTTTGTGTCAAACTAAGATAAACTTACTAAATGAGAGCACCCCACCTAGAGTAAAATTAACTAGTGTGCGCTGTCTATTACTAATGCATTTTGAGTTGAATCATCACTAGGTTTTCCACTTTTCCGTCCATGAACCAAACTAAGTTATGCTAGATAAAATACAGGTCGTCAAAGCGTGACATACTAATTAAAGAGACAATATAAGTAATATTAGTGGTTATCTTGATTATTATTGGGTTCCATTATTAATTTTATTTGTAGTTATGCAAAATGAATAGCAAAATATAAATGATATACAAAGCAGGAGTAAAGAAAATCATATACATAAGAAATAAATAATGAAGTAAGAAAAGAATCAAGGAACTGTAAGAAAAGATCAAGTTATTAACGAAAGAATCATGAAATTAAGGAAGGAAAGAATCAAGGTATTAAAGATGGTGAAAGGATCGAAGCATTAAAGAAAATCAAGGAATGAAAGAAAAGATGAGAATAAAATACAAAGAATTAAAGAAACAAGTATCATGGAATAAAAAGGAAAGAATAGAAGAATTAATATACAGTATTAAGGAAGTAAAGAAGAAATGAAATAAGAAATAAAATGGAGGGAATATAAGAATTAAAGAAAAGCGATTTAAAAAGGGTAAGAAGGAAGTAATCAAGAAATAAAAAGGAAAGAATTAAAGAAATAATCAAGAAATCAGAATAAGGAATGAATCAAAGAAATAATCAAGACATTATAGAAAAATGTAGCAATGAATGAAGTAATCAAATAGAAATGAAAAAGAAAATAGATATATGTCTATATTTCTGAGATGAGGTATTATGTACACTATTTACTTTATTCGGAGGGAATATAAGAATTAAAGAAAAGGGATTAAAAAAATTAAGAAGGAAATAATCAAGAAATAAAAAAGGAAAGAAACAAAGAAATAATCAAGGAATAAACAAGGAAAGAATTAAAGAAATAACCACTGAAATAAAAAAGAAAAGAATCAAAAAAATATTCAAGACATTATAGAAAAAAATGTAGCCATTAATGTAGTAATCAAGTAGAAATGAAAAAGAAGATAGATATTTATCGATATTTCTGAGATGAGGTATTATGTACACTGTTTACATTATTCGGGCTATTGTCCTCATAGTTGTACGCTCCGGCCTTCTTCGGGTGGTTGGAATGTCGAACTAAACCCTTCATTTCGTTCACTGGGGTAGACTTTTCTAGTTCCAGGTGCCATGTTTAATGGATGTCAGTTGTCACTAATCTCCTGTTAATTCCCCTCTCCAAGTTCTCCACCGCCATTAACCAGGTATTGAACTCACACCCTTTGGGTCCTATCACTGGATCTAACTAACGCCTTTATCCACTGTGCCATATGTCCTTGAGAAGAAGATAGTTTAAAATGATATGAAAACACAGAGAAATCAAAAAGAATTGTGACGAAGATACATTAGGTTGTCAGAAATTGTTGACCAATAGAAAAACGAAGGCAATGAAAAACAAGACTGAAGAATGCAAAATATAAATGAAAAAAGTGAGAAATTAAGACAAGTCGAGAATTAATTAAGCACGGACATATTAAGCCATATCTATCTGGCGTCAGTTTAAAATGTCTTTTGCATTAGAGATTTCTTTTCTTGGATTCGGAGGAAAAGCTGGAAGTCGTCGAATATATTTTACTACAGTTTTCATCTTCCAAGATTTTACTTTATAATTAGATACATGGGAAAAGTTTAAAACTGGTGCATATCGCTCAAAAGACAGAAAGAGAAAATAATTTTACTGACAGGAGACTATATTGAGGAAAATTCTGCGAGTTCAAATGAGCTCTGAAAATGAAAGAAAAGCAAAAAAGTAAAAAGAAAGAAGAAAAGAAATTATTTTAATGAAAGGAGAAAAAAAGAAAATGATTTTTTCTAAAACTTTAATGGAAATCGAAAGTACTGATAAGTGTACGAATTAAGAAGAAAATTGCAAAAAACATTTCAAAATTTTAAAAAGACCAGAGGCTACTCAATATAATATGCGGTGCTGACCGTTCTAAATAACATGTCTACCAAAATCTTATAGTCGAAAAGATTGGAATTAAATCCTTAAGCTAAAAATTGTCTGACGTAAAAAGAAAAATTACTTTCAGACAGTAAAGGATATGAAGAAAGAAATCCAAGACTTCCGGAGATATTTTAATTCCGGTTCGAATGCAAGATTTATCAAGAATTCCATATATTTTACGATTGCTAGTTAAGACATTTATTCCAATATCAGTTCTGGTAAATTTTTCAAATTCTTTTCATCATAGGAATAGCTCCCCTTATACAAATGCAAGAACGATGACACCAGTGAGAGGGTTAATTGCCTCAATAATATGGTAGACACAAAACAATAAGTGTTATTTTGAAATTTTAATAAATTTTTCTAAGTAATATTTTCGTATTTTCAACTTACAGACTTTCTAATGAACACACCGGAAACGTAATTTATGAAAATTAGGAAAAACGCAAAACAGAAAAAAGAGATCTAGAAGAGAGGGCATTCAAGCAACTTCCATTTACACGATGTGATAAAAAGGACCAAATAAGTTCAATAATTCTTCCAGAAATATCATAACCTTTGATGAATGAGAAGAATTGTGGTAATTTTTAGACATAACAATAATTGCACATAATAAAAAAAAATATATTTTTGCAAGACAATGTTTTGAAAGATGGCAACTGCGTATCATTGAAAACTAACAATTATAATAGCTTAAACAGATATATTAATACAAAAGAACACTAATAAAAATATTGATAAAATCAAAACGAAAATCATATTCATTGTAGTTCATATTATTTTTAATTACAGCCCGAATATTGTCATGAAATACCGCACAATCTTTAACCACAAAATTATTGGACATCTTGAGCCATTCCTCATTAATGTCACACGAGGCCAACTGACATGCTGATAGTTTGGTACAAAATGCGCCAAAGGGCTTTAGTTCCGGGTTGTCGGGGGGAAATAATATTCTGACTAGAAACAGAGAGCGAACTTTGTTGAACTGCCACACTTTCTTGGCCGTATCACTAGATTTATTGTCCACATTTCTGGGATGTACTCTGCGCAGTAGTCCTTGACGCATGGCATACAAGGATACCGAAACAAGTGTAGCAAGCTTCAGCACCCACCTTTCTTCAAGCTTATAGCTTAAAGTAGAGCATTCTTGTTTTCTCATTTGAAAGCCACAGCATCTATTACTATGGATTGGGTTAGATTTTAAAACGTGAATAGGTCTTTGAAATCAAATAAGGACACTGCGAAATTACATCAGATAATATATTAATTTTGAATCATAATACTAGTGGTAGTTTAGTACGTTCATATGCCTTTTCAACCCTCCTAGCCTTCGTGCACGCTGTGAGAAGATGCCTTAACATCCTGGCGAAAATAAATAATGTGGATGTTGTCGGGCAATACTGTCCTTGCGACACAAGGTAGTAAATGTGCAAGATGAATTCTGAAGAGAAAATGTCATGCTAGGACAAGCTGAACAAACGTTTCCAGCAGTGGATTCTGGTTTAGGGAGACAGTTATATGTATGTATCTATCTATCTAAATTTATATATATATATATATATATATATATATATATATATATATATATATATATATATTTGGTTGGATAGATGTGAGTTTGTCACATCTATCAACCCAATATGTTAACTCTATCTCTGATATTGAGCGCTTTCTAATAAGTACCATACATATAATATATAATTATACATATATATATTTATTTATATTTATATACACTTTTCACACACACACACACACACACACACACACATATATATATATATATATATATATATATATTCCAACAGTAAAAAATGCATATATATAAACATTCTAACGTTAAAAAATATATACATATTTTTATTATTGAAAAATAAATAAATATATATGATTGACCAGGCAGATTTTTTCCCATAACAGGTTGTCATTTCTTTCTGTGGTAGACCAGTTGCCATCCAAGGATACAGAACCCGCAGAGAAGAAGAGGATTCGTACCTTTCCCAAATGTATTCACGTAAGCGAATGCAATGACGAGTATTCGAACTGGGTTCTACGATTGCACAATCCGAGCCGCTAT